TACTACTACTACTACTACTACTACTACTGCTACTGCTACTGCTACTGCTACTGCTACTACTGCTGCTGCTACGACTACCATACGACTGCGACTACTACGACTACTACGACTACTACTACAACTACAACTGTCACTGCAATACCATTATTACTGCGACTACGACGACTGCCACTACTACTCCTGTCAGCCTGCCACAACGTCTGCTGCTATACTACGTCTGCTGCTATAAATACTCGTGACAGGAGGGGGAGTGCGCAAGGCTGCCAAGCGAAGCCTACTCATCCTTATGACTGGCTCCCTCTTTTCAGGTCGTGCGTGCCGAGGCAGGCGCGACTACGACGAGTGCTACTACTTCTCGTGATAGGGGGGAGTGCGCGAGGCTGTCAAGCGAAGCCTACTCATCCTTATGACTGGCTCCGGCTTTTCAGGTCGTGCGTGCCGATGCGGGCGCGATGCGCTCCGCGGCGCACCGCGCAAGCGAGCGTCTGCCCGCCAAGGACCCCTCGGATCAGAGCGCCGAGGCCTGTGAGGGAAGGGAAGATCGGAGAGCCAGCCCAACCCGAGATCCGTAGCATGAAGGCGATCGGCGTGCTGCAAGCCAACGGAGCGAGGTGTGAGTCAGGAAGCCGCCGCCCCCGCTTGAGCTCGCAACGCTTCCCTCCTCGCTCCACCTGCGTTCTCAACGTCCCCCCCCCCCCCCCCCCCCGTCGTGATATTTCTTCACAGCGCGAGGGGGTCTGGGAAGCCCTGGCGGCCAAGGACCTGCAGGACGAGCTGACGGAGCTCGGCCAGGCGGCCTGCGCGAACTCTGGTGGCGCTCCGGTTCCCGAGGGCGGGGCGCCCCACCCCCGCGCCCCGCCCGGCGGCGCGGGCAAGAAGCCCGACGACGTCATCGACGTGGACGGCCGTGGGTGCGGCGCCAGGCCCCGCGCGCTTCTTGCCTGGCGGGCTTGCCCCGCGGGCCGCAGGCGTCACGGAGCGGTGGCGTCGTAGAAGAACTGGGGGCGCGGGCCTTCCCCCGCGTCCGCCGCCGGCGTCTGGGGCACGCCCTGCTCGGCGTACATGGCCTGGATTTAGGTCGGGCATGTCCCCCTACAGGCGGATTGTGGACGCAATATACAACATACCCAACAACTATTCAAAAACAGATTCCAAAAAGGATAAAACTAATCGTCCCCAGGCTATTTGTTTGACTATTTTCGAATATTCCTCCTGTAGAGGGACGTGCCCGACTTAAGCCTGGATGGCCCCAAAGGAGACGCTGTCTGTGCCATCGGGGTCGAGGAGGTCATACTGCCTGCCGATCTCGTCCAGGACCTGGCGGTCGACCAGCTCGTACTTGAGCAGGAGGTACCGCAGGAACTCGCCGCGGGACAGCATGCCGTCCTTCGTCACGTCCATCTCTTTGAAGAGCTGCGTGTTTATCCTCTCTTTGAGCTGATAAGATCGGCGGTGAGACGCCCGCAGGAAGAACATGGTGCACGCGCGTACAAAATTAGCGCATGCACCAACGCCGGCAATGGTCCAGAAAAGGGAGAATATGATGCCCGCAGTGGTGTGCGGGGTTCGGTCGCCAAAACCACAGGTAGTGAGCGTCACGATGCTCATGTAAAGGGCACTCCAGATGGTGAGAATTCTACCGCCAGTGCCCTTGCACTGTTCCCCGTCTTGGCAGCCAGGGATTCTGTCCCAGCGTGTGCCACACGTGCATCTCTCCACGCTGGCGTAAAATATGCACCCAGCAACAAGGAAGAATGCGAATATCAAAGTGCCAGAGGCCAGGTCATTGAGGTGGCCAAAACGCGCCATCGCGTCCTCGTCGTTGCTTGCCAGGCCCATGCGCTGCTCCGCTGCCCTCATCTTGGACCGCAGGAGGCTCGTGGAGACCTTCGTGCAGGCATCGACAGCTCTGCTGAGTACGAACGCCACCAGGATGATGCAGCCCAGCATGTACACGCTCAAGAACCTTCACTCCTGGTCCTCGTCCTCCTCCTGCTGAGATCTGCCCTCGGCCCTCGAGGGAAGTGTTTTTAGATATCTGTTTGAGCATGTTTGGGTGTTTCCAACTCTCCTCATCGCCCTTCCTCCTCCTCGCCTGTCCTCTTCCTCCTCGCCTCTCTTCCTCCTCCTCCTCCTCCTCCTCCTCGCCTCTCCTCCTCCTCTTCCTCCTCCACCTCCTCCACATCCTACTCCTTCGGGGCCAGGACCTGGTGCGGCACTGAAACGTACTATCTCCTCCTCCTCCTCCTCCTCCGCCTCCTCCCCCTCTCCCGGCTCGAGCTGGAGAAGTGAACCCCTCCATGCTGGGAGTGACGGGCACGTCCCCGTAGCCGATCGTCGTGACGAGCTGCGCTGTCAGGTACAGCGCCTCCAGGACGCTGAAGCCCTGCAGCAGGACGAGGAAGAGTACGCCGAGCACGAGCCAGAGGAGGGCGACAGACGCGGCGATGGCCTCGTAGCTCACCGCCCACGACGCCTCCAGCCGCGCCAGCCTCTCCATGGACGGGGTGCCTGCCAGCCGGCTGGAGGGCAAGCGGGGGCCCGAGGGAGGCGGGGGCTCCCACCCCCCCCTCGCTGCACCGGCTCCCTCGATCCGGCCTCTCGCTTGTATTTACGGCCCGCAGGGGGGCGCTTGGACCCAGACCCCCGACGTCATCATTCTTTACAGCGTCGAGCCCGCGAGGTCCCCACCCCATTCCCAGGACGGGCCTTGCATCCCGAGTGATTTTCTGGCTGTCCCTGGGCCCTGTGAGGGCCCTCGAGAGGCTGAAAACGGCCAAACAACTCCCGTGACGGCCCGTCGTGACTCTTTTCGTAACCCGAGGGGGGGGAGGAGGAGGAGGAGGAGGAGGAGGAGGAGGAGGAGGAGGAGGAGGAGGAGGAGGAGGAGGAGGAGGAGGAGGAGGAGGGGCAGGAGAAGTGCTGGAACGAGGAAGAGGAGGGCGAGGAGGAGGAGGAGGAGGAGGAGGAGGGGGAGGAGGAGGAGGAGGAGGAGGAGGAAGGGGATGATGATGATGATGATGATGATGATGATGATGATGATGATGATGATGATGATGATGATGATGATGATGATGATGATGATGATGATGATGATGATGATGATGATGATGAGAGATGTGAGGAGGAGGAGGGGAGGAGGGAGATAGGGGATGCATGATGATGCTGCTGCTTGCTGCTGCTGATGATGCTGCTGCTGCGCTGATGATGATGATTGATGATGATGATGTGATGATGATGATGTGATGCTGCTGCTGTTGCTGATGCTGCCTGCTGCTGCTGTGATGATGATGAGATGATGAGGAGGAGGAGGAGGAGGAGGAGGAGGAGGAGGAGACGGACGAGGAGGGATGCGGGAGAGGGAGGAGGAGGAAGGGAGGGAGGGAGGGAGAGAGGGAGGGAGGGAGGGAGGAGGGAGGGAGGAGGAGGAGGAGGCGGAGGGGAGGAGGAGGGAGGAGGAGGATGGAGGAAGGAGGAGGAGGAGGAGGAGGAGGAGGAGGAGGAGGGATGCTGATGCTGGATGATGATGAGGGCGGGCGGCAGGAGGAGGAGGAGGAGGAGGAGGATGCAGGAGGAGGGAGGAGGAGGAGGAGAAGGACGAGGAGGGATGATGGATGAGGGATGAGGATGAGGGAGGAAGGGAGGAAAGGAGAAAGGAGGCAAGGTGAGGAAGGATGGAGGAAGTGAGGGGAGGGAGGGAGGGAGGGGAGGAGGAGGAAGAGGAGGAGGAGGAGGAGGAGAGGAGGAGGAGGAGGAGGAGGGGCGCAGGAGGAGGACGCGCGGACCAGGAGGAGGAGGAGGAGGATGGAGGAGGAGGAGGAAGGGAGAGGAGGAGGAGGAGGAGGAGGAGGAGGAGGCGACGAGGGAATAGGAGGACGAGAGGACCAGGAGGAGGAGGAAGGGGAGGAAGAGGAGGCGAGGAGGAGGAGGAGGAGGAGACGAGGAGAAGGAGGGGAGGAGGGAGGAGGAGGAGGGAGGCGGGAGGGTGGGAGGAGGGAGGAGGAGGAGGGAGGAGGGAGGAGGGAGGAAGGAGGAGGGAGGAGGGAGGAGGGAGGATGGAGGAAGGAGGGAGGAGGGAAGAGGGAGGAGGGAGGATAGAGGAGGGAGGAGGGAGGAGGAGGGAGGAACAGCAGGAGGAGGAGGAGGAGGAGGAGGAGGAGAAGGAGGAAGAGGAGGGGGCCCGGGGGAAAGAGGGGCCCCCCAGAGGCCGAAGTGAGGCACGGCGTGGCGCTTCGGGCCCTGGCAGCAGGGCCTCGCGGCCTCGGCTCCTGCACACTACCGCAGGGCCACCACGCCGCGGCAGCCTCGATTCCTCGAGCCCCCATCCTCGAAGCCTCGTGCTCTCGAAGCCCCGAACTGGCAGTGCCTCGAACTTTCGAACCTCTCGAAGCCTCCAATTTTCGAAGCCTCGAACTGGCAGGGCCACGGCGGTGCCTGGCAGCAGGGGCTGCTTCTCCGCGGCGCAGCCCGGAGAGGCGAGCCTCACAGTCCTCGGGTCCGTCGCCTCGTCGCGGCGCGCGGCGGCGCCATGGGCGCCGCCCGTCGCTGCGCCCGCGCGGCCTGCGCCTCCAGCGGATTTCGGCTGCACGCAGGAGTGACCACGCGAGCGTCGGAAAATTGCCAATTCCTCCTCCCCCCTCCCCCTCTCCTCCCCATGTTTCTGCCGCCGGGTGCTCAATGTTTTTTTAGTGGCCACTCGAGCGACGAACAGAAACGGGTCTTGCGCGCGATGGCATGGAGACCTTGCACCGTGGCTCACGCGGGCCGCCAGCGCGGCACACCGCACATAGAGGAGGGCGCTCACGCGCGACCTCACGCGGGAAGCTTGCGCGCGAATATCAGTGCAGCTGCGTCGCGCCTACTGGTCGGGCGTGCCCTCCTACGGGCAGATGTTGGGCGAACCATATACTTCCTCAAACAAAAAGAAAAACATGCAAACCAAATCGGCCCCAAACTATGTTTTGACTACTCTTGATTATTCCTCACGTGCAGGGACAGGCCCGACTCAAGCCTACAAGCAAGAGGTGACCTTGGCGCGTGGCGCTCGGAACGGCCAGGGGCGGAATCCGTTCCCGAGCGCGCAGGCGGCTGCTGCCGCGCTGCTGCTGCTGATGCGGATGATCATGATGATGCTGATGATGAGGATGCTGCTGCTGCGGATGAAGAGGAGGAGGAGGCGGAGGAGGAGGAGGAGAAGAAGGAGGAGGAGGAGGAGGAGGAGTGACCAAGGAGTGACCCATGCGGACCTCCTCCCTGCCACAAAGGCCCCTGGAGTGCAGAAGGAACACGAGCCTTCGCACGTCCAGGGCAGCGAGCCCGTGCAGGAGGAACACGAACCTCCGCACAAGGCCGAGGCGCGGGGGGAACACGAGCCTCCGCACCTCGAGATATGGACCCCTAGCCGCGCAGGAGGACACGAGCCTCCGCGCGGCCAGGGCGGGGGCGCAGGAGGAACACGAGCCTCCGCACCCCGCGAGCGGGACCCCAGGCCGCGCAGGAGGAACACGAACCTCCGCGCGGCCAGGCAGGGGGGCACAGGAGGAGCACGAGCCTCCGCACCCCGAACGCGCCGCGTGCTCAGTTCAGCCTGCCGTGGTCGACGAACGAACACGACGCGATGGCTGCTGAGGATCCCGACAACAGGACCCCTGTCTGGCCGACGAGCTCCGCGACCTCTGCACGGAACCTGGCCTTCTCCAGGGCCTTCTTGCCACTCTCCTGCATCTCGGGGGGCTCGCGGCTGCTCTCCTGCGCCCGCGGCGGGAGGCCCTGCAAGAAACTCACGGACGGTGTCTCGACCACCTGCTCGCCGACGACCTGCGGCACCTCCACGCTGTTCCCGAAGCCTGTAACGTTCTTCACCTTGTCGTCGCCCACCTTGTCGGCCGAGGGGTCCGAATGCTCTGCCTTCTGCACGTCGGTGTCCTTCTCGACGTGCGCCAGCATCGGCACCTCCACCTTCTCCTCAGCCTTATTCAGCATCAGGAGGTCCTTCTCGACGAGATGCGTCGACGACGCGTCCGCCTCCACCTTCGGACCGTGAGCGAACCTCTCGACGTGCTGGGCCATCGGCGGCTTCATGATCGCCGTGACCTCTTTCTCCTCGAAGACCTGCATGTCCTCAATCTTCTCCTGGGAGTCGCCACCCAGCGCGTCCTTGCACTCGTCCGCAGTGTCCTGCACGGTCGGGGGGAACGCCTCGCGCCATGCGCCTGGCCCAGCACCAAAGCCATGGTGGGAGGCCTGGTTGCGCAGCTTCCTGCTGCTTCCAGGGATGCTGGCGCGAACCCCGCGCCCGCCTGCCTGGACGTGCTTCTGGATGACGGGCTCGATTGCCTTCATCCTCTCCTTCGTCTCGACCTGCTCGTTGGACGGCTCCGCGATGCCCTGCAGCACTTCCGCCGCCACGCGGACACACGCCGCCGCCGCCGCAACCACCGCTGCACGTTGACCTCCACCTGCAGCGCCCCGCATGACGCCCTCGACGATGATCGCGAGATCCGCACTCGGGACCCCCATGGCTGGACGTGCGCCGCCGGGCGGAGGGACGACCGCAGCACTTGAGCCAACATGGCTACGGAGGAGGAGGAGGAAGATGAGGAGGAGGAGGAGGAGGAGGAGGAGGAGGAGGAGCAGGAGGAGGAGGTGGAGGAGAACGAGGAGGAGGAGGAGGAGGAGGAGAAAGAAGGAGGAGGATGAGGAGGAGGACGAGGAGGGAGGAGGAGGAGGAGGAGAAGGAGGAGGAGGAAGGAGGAGGAGGAGGAGGAGGAGCAGGGGAGGAGGGACGAGGAAGACGAGGAGGAGTGAGGGGGCGGCGCGGGAGGAGGAGGAGGAGGTGGGGAGGAGGAGAGAAACAGGAGGAGGAGGAAGAAGGAAGGAGTCAAGGGACGGAGGAGGAGGAAGGAGGGAGAGGCAGGAGTAAGGAGGACGGAGAAGGAGAAGGCGAAAGGAGGAAGGAGGAGGAGGAGAGGAGGAGGCGGAGGAGGATGAGGAATAGGAGGAGGAGGAGGCTGAGGGAGAAAAGGAGGAGGAGGAGAACGCAGAGGAGGAGGAGAGGAGGAGGAGGAGGAGGAAGGAGGAGGAGGAGGAGGAGGAGGAGGAGGAGGAGGGAGGAGGAGAGGAGGCGGAGGGAGGGGAGGAGGAGGCGGAGGAGACGAGGATGACGAGGAGAAGGAGGAGGAGGCGGAGCAGGAGGAGGAGGTGGAGGAGGGGGACGGGAGGAGGGAGGGAGGCAGGAGGAGGAGGAGGAGGGGAGGAGGAGCCGAGGAGAGGAGGAGGAGGAGGCGGAGGAGGAGGAGGAGGAGAAGGAGAGGAGGAGGAGGAGGAGGAGGGAGGAGGAGGGGAGGAGAGGGGAGGAGGAGGAAGAAGGGGGGAGTGCAGAGTTCGGGGGAGTGAGGAGGAAGAGGGGAAGATGAGGAAGGGAGGAGGAGGAGGAGGAGGAAGAGGAGGAGGGACGAGGAGGAGGAGGCGGGGAGGAGAGGAGCAGAGAGGAGGAGGAGG